CGAAAGATTTCCACATCTTCTCGACTTAGTCTTCCTACCAAAAGCAAGTTTTTTATTGACAAATGACTTAAGATACCATAACTCACTGAAGAAACGCAAAAAGTGTCACAAATCCATAGAAACGGGCCAAGCGAGAAACACACTCCTGTATTCAACAGATAGATAAAGATAATTGTTATTTCTCAACATATTTGAACCTCTTGAGTTGTTTTATTATTTTCTTATACTTACGCTTGTGCGATATCACCTTGTGGTGGACATGAGACAGAACCTGGGACGAGCTTTATTTGCCTCACACCTTTACCCCAGATTCAGCTTGTACTATGGCTCGACGCCTGATTGATTTCGTCTACCTAAGATCAAAATCACAACGTGGGTAGGTTACACTTGAGATCAAAGTAGTTACTTCGGTAACCAGACGTTGGAAGTGAGCTGAGAACGACAAGATGGTATCGAACCGGGAACAACCAGATCGACCGAGACACAAGCTGGTGGCAGCGACAAAGAGTCAACCTCAAACGCTGGCGGAAGAAACCTTACAGCTTCGCGCTGCAATTGGGAGTTGACCACGGGACGACGGTGCAGTGTCATATGTTGACGTCGCGACCAGTGGACGTCAACATGTTGGCGCTGGACCGTGACCGGTGGGTGTCACAGCTCGATGTGTCAACATTTGAACACAAATTCGTTTTTATATCAACATTTAAAAACAAATTTGTGTCGACATAAAAATGGATTCAAATTTCCATAATATAGTTGTACATTAATGAGCTACCCAAAATCCATCCTTTAACTCTTCAAATGTTGACATAAAAAACAAAAACTAATTCTAATCCCCATAGTGAAATTTTTCCTTATTTAGCTCCCCTAAGTAACTCCTATCTCCCCTCTAAAACCGTTCATACTCTATGGGATTATAATTTATAAACTTAATCCCCCTTCTGTTAATTGCCCTTTATCTTCTTTTAAATTTATTTTCAGGTTCATTCTTAATTTCTACTTTAATTTTAAATTTAGGTCAAAAACTGGTGTTTTTCTTCGTTGTCATAAGGTCAACTGTAACAGTGAAAAGTGGAAACTCTGTATTAAGGGTTACCAGCAAGTTTAGCTTCCAATAACAATTCCTCACGGGTAACTCCTTTTATATTCCACTTCCTCATGAAGTTCATTCCACACTGGGGTTGAAAAGACAGATGACCACTTTCATCATCTGCCAAAATAGATTATTCTCCATATGAGGTAAAAGGATTTGTTAGATTCTTAATTATACACTGCGTGCCAAATTATTATCAAGGTAACTTTTTTTCTAATATTTCAAAAACCGTCCAATCAATTCACACAAAATTTTCACACAATGTTGGCAAAACTGACCTACGCAATCACTGAAATTTTCATACTGATCTACGCAATTATACACACAATTATTTGGCGCCAAATTATTATTGAGTAAACAAACTGAACCAACCGTTTATTAATTTGCCGTTAATAAAAGAGGCCAATAAATTAAAAAAACAAATTAATCATTACTTTTCCATAGAATTTTATTAATTGTAATGCCAAAATTTTCAAGAATATGATTTTCTTTCATGGTGCTCCAAAAGTTTTCGATTGGGTTCAACTGGAGAATTTGGCCACTCATTTTCGAGGTCCATATGCCTAACTGTTTCAAATATTCCAAACTCTTGTGAGCAGTTTTCATCTTTAATGATTCTGAAGGCAATGTTGCCTTTTCATCCACAGTTCAAATGCATAAGCGCTATGTACATCAAAAAATTTTGGCGAATTTATTAAAACATTCATTCCACAAAACTTGTTCTATCATTTACCCAGCCTTTGCTTTATCTGGCCCATCAAGTGTTTGCTTGAGTTTTTTTCATAAACTTTAATAAAATATTGTCCTCGGCCCATATTTTGAATGTGATATATGGAGACTATAAAAATTTTCTCAGATATACTTTTATATGATTCCCAAATAAAAGACTGGTAAGTCAGGGTTCTTTCCTCCTATATTTTTTAATAAGAATGTTTGATGACATTAATTTTATTTATTCTAATTTTTCATAAATATATATTTTAAATTTAATATTTCTAAAACTGTCCAATCACATTGCGCAGATCTTTTAGTTTATGCAAAATGAATTTTAATTGAATGAAAAAAAATCTCGATTTTTGAAAACGCCATAAGATTTTATATATATTTAATTATCATCAATCTGTATCACAGCTCATCAGTGTGGCTTCAACAAATTGAAAAACTGATTTGGTATCAGTCATTTTCCCTCGGCTATATTTCAAATTTTACGTGTTACTTTGTGAATAAATATGCCAATGACTCAATGCTCATATTTCAAAATAATTTTATACCAATGGCTTCCTCATAAATAACTATGTGTGATAGGTTTTCATTTCATTGCTTGGAAATTATTTATCATTATTGTTTTGTCTGTAAAAATTAATTGTCATCTTTTGAAATGGCTTATAAATTTAAATATTAAAAAAACATGTATCAATCTTTCATCTTTCAATGATAATTGACAATAAAGAATTTACAAAATAAATAGACAAAACTTGTCTATATTATTTAAAAAGACATGCATCAATATATATATATATATATATATATATATATATATATATATGAGAAAAAGAGCCTCTAATTAAAATGAATTTTTAAAATGAAAAAATTTTTCTTGAAGATTTTATTTTGATTTTAATTTCAAACTAATAGATTAAATTTAATATTTCTAAGGAGCAAAATAACTTGCTGTATTTCAAAATGAATTTTAATTAACTAGAAGGAGTTTTCATTTTTAAATTATTAAAAAATCAATCTGTTTAGGCGCCATTTTATGGCATCCATCATCACTTTAATTCTCTATATTAAAAAATCCTGCAAAAATAAAATATAGTTTTCTGAGATGTTATTTGAGAAAAATTAGCTGAATTAAGTTTAATTAATCTGATTTGAAACAAATATTACTTAATTTTAGTTTAAAATATCACAGAAATGCATTTTATTTTAACATGGTGGTAGGTTTTTTATAATAAGTAATATAGTCAGTAATAAGTAATGGTATGTGTTTATATAAGGTGTTGACAACTTGACTGACAGACAGAAGTTTAGCTAATATTTTTCTATCATGGACATATTGGTAAAAAATTACTTGAGGAATATAAAGTGAGTCCCCTTTTTTTATATAATCTTTTAACTACTCAGTAATCTTAAAAATTTAGAAAAATATTCTCTGTAATCTAATGTTTTATTGAATTTTAGGTACTCTGACTTTAAATGTACTATAGTTATCGCTTTTATTTTCTGATAATGTTGTGTATGGACATCCATATTTACAAAAATGGACACATTTATACACAAAAAGAATTACAAATTCTTTTTAAGATACTGGGTGTTGCTGAATTGTACAAAGCTTTTTCATTGATGATTTGTAAATATACTTTTCACTTAATAACGATATCATCTACCCGGTATCTGTCTATATTTCTGAGATGAGGTATTATGTACATTATTTGGACTATTGTCCTCATCTTTGCTGCCATGTTTATTACAATGTTTCAGCCGTTGTATGCTCCGGCCTTCTTCAGGTGGTTGGAATGTCGAACTGAACCCTTTATTTCACTCACTGGAGTAGACTGTTCTAGTTCCACGTGCCATGTTTAATGGATGTCAGTTATCTCCTGTTAATTCACCTCTCCAAGTTCTCCACTGCCTTAACCGAGTATTGAACTCCCACTCTTCGGTTCCTGTCACTGGATCTAACTAACGCCTTTATCTACTTTGCCATAGTTAAATCCAGTGACAGGACCCAAAGAATGAGAGTTCAATACCTGGTTAAGGCGGTGGCGAACTTGGAGAGGGGAATTAACAGGAGATAACTGATAACTGACATCCATCAGACATGGCACGTGGAACTAGAAGAGTCTACCCCAGTGAGCAAAATAAAGGGTTCAGTTCGACATTCCAACCATTTGAAGAAGGTCGGAGCATACAACGGATGAAATGTTGTAAAAAAAGTCCAAATAATGTAAATAATATATCAGCTAACTGGATTGAAGTAATGCAGAATTGTAAACAATTTAAGTTGTTATAATTAAAATTTTAAAAAATGAAAATAATTCTTGTAAAAATTCATTTCTTTGAATTTTTTATTTCTTAATACAATAGTGCCCATAATATGTTATTCATAAAAACAATTAAAAACTCTTTTAATTAAAAGAATGTCTTCGTTTTATTGCATTTCTTATTTCACAATTCAGTACAGATTTCTTATTTCACAATTCAATACAGATTTCAGGGATCCTGCTTTACCAAAAAAAAAAAAAAAAAAAAATGTTTTAAATTCTTGAAGGAGTTCTGCATATATAACTAATATAAACAATAAGCAATAAGAAATTTACTTTCTCAAAATTTCATAAAATTAATTGGGAGGCAGGGATGTAACAGATATTAAAAAAAAAAAAAAAAAAAAAAAAAAAATTATTTTTACTGAGATTTTCTAAAAAAAGAATTATTTCTAAAATAAATTAATTTGTGAAGAAGTCCTGAAAGTTTCATTAAAGTCCAGCAATTATTTACTTTTTGCAAAAATTTTCAAATCAATCTGTTTTCAACACAAAAAGACAATCAAATTTCCTATATTTATCTTTGGGTAACACCACCCCTGATGCAAGAAAAACAAAATTTTTTAAACATCAAGTATAATTTAGTAATCAAAAAATCCTTTGGTCTTTCTTCTTAATAATAACAAATATTTATTTTTCTATTAAGTTTGGGATATTTTTTCATGATGGTATGCTAATTTTTTTAGCAAATCTGCAAATGTACCTAATATAATGTGTGTATATCCATGTGTTTTGCTTGAAGCTACTGATTTCTTTGGAATTTCCAACAAATTTAATTTGGAAAAAGCATCTAACAGGAAAACAACAACGACAGCAAAAAAGCAAACATGACTGAACATCATTCACGTCTTCTTGTCTTGCAGATCGGAAGTCTGGAGAAACTTCCCCAGCTGTTGATCAGACGACTTCCCCTAAACCGTCTCAGATCAGCAGTGTGGATCGTCTACTGACTCCAAATGGAGATTTGGGTAAGTCCCTCCTCCCTGACCTCTAACCTTCCTAAATGCTTAGTCTCTACCTAGATGCTTATATTTGCCATGAACATAAACTCAGCTGTGAATTGATGTTTACTCATTTTATTTGAAAATTTCAAGGTTTTCCAATTTGAATTTTCTGATGAATCTTAATTCTTCAGCTAACGATTGAATAAGCTGATGGCATGTTCTAAGACAATAAAATATCTGTAGAAATTGCCATATTGTATTGTTAAATATTTGAGTTTAACAACTTTAACAAAATATAGCAATAACAATCATAAATATGAATCCTGGTCATTATTTTAAGAAGTAAGGGGGTACAAATGAAAAGATTTGAAATTGATAACATTTTCCACTTCACTGAAACAGACGTTAAACACTTCTATCTTTGCTTCTTCCTCTCACTGAAACCAAGTAGCCTCTTTTCATATGTATTTTGTCTTCTTACGTGAGCAAAATCAAATAGTCCATTATACATGAGACATTAAACGCTTCTATGTCTCTTTCTTTCACTGAAATCAAGCAGCATTTCTGATAAGTCTTTTTGTCATTCCATGCCATCAAAATAGAATCATCCATTATTTATGCGGTATTGACATGATACAATGGTCGTGTGGTTAATGAAGGGCAGAACAAGCACAATTATAATAGGATTGTTTTGATCTTACGATTTACAAGAGGTTTGCCATTGCCTGCAACTGGCATTCATTTTTTTTTTCTTTGATGATAATGTTCACCTTGTACAAGGTCTAAGAGTCACTCAAGATAGAGCATTACAAAGTAACCTTTGAGATATGTGGGAAAGATACTGGTTAAGATACAGGAGTCAGTTCCACAAAGTATCAGACCATTGGAGAAAGCTTGTGTGTAACTAACATCACACCAATGGAATATGAAGGGACTGAGGATGGTTCACTACAATGTGAATGGTATGGTAGGTCGTAGCTGTGAAGTTTAAAACTGGTGGAACTTAGGAATGTAGTTCATCTGAACATTTGCCCTTTTTTTTTTTTTTTTTTTTTACAGCAAGGTTCAACCTTTACAAAGCCCTGAAGCCATTTTGTGTGTATAGGAGTGGAAGATAATGGTTAACTCTGGCCTTGAATGGTTTAAGATTCAGTGGTTCACACAAAGAAGCTGTTCAAGTGGAACTTACTTCTCACTAATGGAATACTGAGGCAATGTGGGTCGTTTGCTACTATGTAACTGGCATGGCATGTTTTTTGCCATAAAGGTTTTTCTTGGCAAGACCATAGAATGTAGTTCGTCCAAGAACCTTCGATGGAAGTAGTGGTAGAACAGCAAGAGGCTTGCCGCATCCAGCCTGCAGGAGAAGGGCTGAAGAGTGAAGAATAATTTGTCACCCACAAGGGCTTGGAGACACTTTTGAACCCTATCAAGGCTGGAGAGTGAGGCCTGGGTAGCTTCCACCCAAATATGATAACAATACTCCATTTTTGGTCTGATCTGGCTCTTGTAAAGGTAGAAGATAACAGGAGTCGGGTACTTACTTTAGGGGTACAGAGAGCTGACCATTTTACCTGCATCCTTGGATTGTATGTACAAGTTTCAGGTTGGGAGTGAGTTTGAGGTCCAAGAGTCTTTCAAGGCATAGTGCTACTCCAAGAGGACACCCATTCATTCTGATTGGTGGTAGTCTGGGGATCAGGTTGCTGATGATGGAATGTAACTCGCTTGATATTTGATTAATTGAATGTAACCAGCCAGTTCTTACCCTATTGGGCAGTTTGTGCAAAGCTCAGAAGAGAGGTCACTTGCCAATCTCTGACCATCAAAAGTTTCAGAGGCGCACATGTATATAGTTGTATCATCAGCATAAATGTTTACAAATAATTTGAGTATATTCTTAGGCAGATCATTTATGAAGATCAAAAACAGGATTGGTCCAATGAGCAACCCCTGGCACATGCCTGCATTGACCTCTAGGGTCCCAGAAGACTGGCCATTAATAACTGCCTTCATCGAGCTACCTGTTAGGAAAGATTTTATGACCGAGAAGACTCTTCAGGTGATTCCATAAGCAGAGAGCTTGTGTAGTAAGCCTTTGTGCTACACTTTGTTGAAGACCTTTGAGATATCTAGTGCTATGGTTCTCAAGGTGTGTTTTTTGTCAAGAGCCTCACTGATTCTGTGAGTGACGGCAGTTAGGACATTGGCAGTAGATCAGGCTGACTGAAACCCATATTGCGTGTTGCTGAAGAACTTGACACTTTCCACAGGCTTGGGAAGGACTTCTTCAAGCAGTTGCTGAATAACTTTGCAAGGATTGGGGATATAATATCAAATTGATGTTCTTAAGGACAACCACTGGAATTTTCTTAGGGTCTAGGCCTTTGTTAAGTCTGGACACTTCTCATGCTATGATGGTAATGTTACTGAGATTGTGCTCAGTGAGATGTGGAAATTGGGGGGGGATGGTCTTTGTCATCTCACATTAGAGGCAAAGATGGAAGCGAAGAGGTTCACCTTATTGGTCAAGGAACATATGACCTCAGGACCATTTATAATCATGGACACAGCTGTTTTATCTCTGTTCATCATTTGGTTGGTGATCTTCCAGAATTCATGTGGTCCAATTTGTTTCTTTTCAACCTTGATCTGCTCTTGTGTAGCTGCACTTGGTGTTTTCTAGAACATTTTTCAGCAATAGATATTGAAGTAACAATTTCAGTGAATTAAGGCTGCAGCACATTCAGGGGTGGACTAGGGTTGATTGTTTGGATTTTGCTTTTTTTGAGGGGGATATAAAGTCTCCATTCCAGAAACAATCCAGTCAGAGACAAGGACAGCAATTTTTGAGGCAGAATGCTTGAAGAAGGTTGTGATCAGAGAGCTTCCATCATGTAGGATTCAAAGCTGTCCCAGTCTGCCTTCGCATAATGAAAGATTGTTCTGTGGAAACGGTACATCAGGGAATGCCTTAGGTTTGGCATCAATCTGAACACTGATTAGGGAATGGTCTGAAGTGCCTAGTGGAGGTAAAACGTTTGATAAGCATTTGTCAGAGCAGGAGGTTAGGAAGAGGTTCGCCTGATGTCCAGTCATGTCCAGGACCCATGTAGGTTCTCTGATGATCTGGGTTAGCTCATAGGTGATGAAGAAGTCTCTGCAATATCTGCCTTCAACATCAGTTTTGTTGGAGTGGACTAGCCATTCTTTATGGTGGATGTTGAAGTCACTGCAGATATAAAAGCTGGCCTCAGGGAATTGAGTGAGAATATGATCAATCTTCTCAGATATTCAGTTGAAGGTTATCATCCCTTCATCCTGAGGACGGTAGAGAGCAAAGACGAAAGTGCGGTACTATGGATAAGTGCCATGCAGAAGAAGATATATCGGAGATTGGGTTCCTCATTTTTTGCATTCCTGCCACAGAGAAAATCATCCTTGATGTAGGCTCCAAGTTCATGGCTGTGGCAATTTCAGTGGTCATGTTTAGGTGCCTATAAGAGGTTAGTAGCTGTGAACTTACTTAGTGCACATAAAGCATTAATACTGGTTTCAGAAACTAACAGGTCTCGTTTAGATTGAAGTAGATTGGAGAAGATGGTGTTCCACTTCTGAAAAGTTGGAACATAGACCCCCCCATGTTGGTGTAGGAGATGGTATATGAGGGGGTGGGGTCTACTTTGCTTTTTTTTTAGGTTGTGTTTGATAGTTTTGGTCATTTGAATTTTGATCAAATTCATGTGTGCATTGGTTGGTGGAAGACTTGTAAGTAGAGAGACAGACACACCTACATGAGTTGCATGTATAAATACCTTGGAGGGAATTGTCTAGAGATACAACCATAGCAGTACCCTTCATCATGGCATCAAGAGGCCCCACCAGAGACTACTGCATAGCCCATAAACCATTCACAAAATGGCAGCACAATAGCCTCGATATTATACACAATCAATTCAGTAAAGAAAATAATGTGTGATGCTCTGAGTGAATGTCGCAACTGCCCAGAAGTCAAGGCAACAGAACTCCTCCTTGGGTCAGAAACATTATACTGATCCAAGACCTAAAGGCACCAAGACATGCTCGCTCACATACTTGAGGATTAAGAAACCCAATGGAAGAATTGGACATAATGAGGGTTGCTCGGGGATGCATGTGCATTCCCCTACCCCCATGGAAATAGCAATAGAATAGCAAGAGAAAGGGGTTGTAAGGTGGAAAATAATTCATCACCCACAAGGACACTGGGAAACTTTTGGATTTCATCAAGACTGGAAAAGTTAAGACCGGGTAGCTTCCACCCATATATGATGAGCAGTACTCCATTTTCAGCCTGATCTAGTTTTTGTGAAGGTAGAGGATAACAGGAGAGTCAGGTACTCGCTGGAGCAGTACACTGGAATGGAAATATTTTCTGCATCTGAAGTGAATGGTCATATATACAAGTTCCACTTTAGGTCTGGGTTGAGCCTAAGTACCAATAAGCACTAAAGGCACAGGGCTTCCTGAAAAAACACCAGTTCATTGCAATAGGTACCAATCAAGAGTCTACTAGGTGATGATAGAACATCATCAGTTTGATTTTTGAGGCATTGAATGTGACCAGTCATTTTTCCCCCACTAAGCTGTTAGAGCTAGATCAGAGCAGAGATCATCTAACGGGCTTTGTTCATCTAGAATTTTGGAAGTGCACCCATATACTGTTGTATCACCAGCATAGATATTCACAAATGATCCGAGTATACTCTTAGTAAAATAGGAAGAGGGTTGGACCAAGAAGCAAAGCTTGGGTGCCTGTGTTGATCTTGGGCCTCAGAAGACTAGCTATTAACAACTACCTTCCAGGACCTACCTATTAGGAAGGACTTGATAATTATGAAGTCTCTTCCAGTGATTCCATTGTTAGAGAGCTTGTGCAGTAACCCTCTATGCTACCCCTTATCAAAGCTAGCTGAAGGGAAGATCTAGTCCATTAGTCTGTTACAAGAAAAAAAAAAAAAAAAAAAAAAAGAACAGACAGCAAAGATGTCCCAAGAATCACTTACCTACCTGTTAAACTGCCAAGATAATCAATGAATAAAGAACCAAGTATTTTCAAAACAGCTTCATATTTCTTTTTCTTATCTACGGTGCTATTTCACTTGACATTCCTTTGTTGAATTTACACCAGGTCTTGTCCAGTTTTTTGCTCACACTGGAGTAAATGGGAATTGAAAGACACAATAGGTGAATCTAATTGGCAAAATACTGATGGAAGGCTGCCATTGCATGTTTATGCATACAAGAAGGTCTATCAAGTCCACAAGATTTTGGGGGCAAAAATGAAGTGTTGGCTTTGAAATGAAAATGTGATAAGAGTGCATTTTTGTTGCCTTGTTGCCAACAAATCCTCACAATAAAGTGGCTACATTTAGGATATATGAAGTCTTTCATCATCATCACCCTTTGACCATCCTATGCTTAGTTGGAACTCCATTGAAAATCCTTTCCACATTGTTCAGTTCTGTATTGCTATCCCAAGATCCCCAATGTCCAACCCTGAATCCTGAGCTATGGTGTCTGGGAAAGTCAATACAGTATTAAATATATATGTTTATGTATGTATCTATACACTTTGAGTTGGTGTAATACGTCAGCCCAGAAGGGTAGTTCATCTAAGAGAAGGAAAACACTGATTTTACAACCTCCAATGCCTTGCGGCCATACCCAATCATGGGAAAGACTTTGGGAGTAAACCCTGATGACAAATCCGGAGCTGGAGTCTCAGACAGTCCACAGAAATTCAAATTCCAAGTTGGTGTCTGGTGCGGGATAATTCACGTCCACTAACCGTACCAGGGTTCCAGCCCCTGCGTATCCAGTTCCCAATTCAAACCTTGTTTCTCATGAAACAGATGACCTCTCACCTCTCAACTCTTTGGAGCAAAGGTAATTGCGAAAGGATAGATACAGAAACAACAAACAAAAACTCTACATCAAAGTTCATGAATTGCAAAAGACGTATTGTCTACAGCACTTTTAATTCACAAGAGAAAGGGAAGTAATATTAGTAATGCAGAGGGCTAAAGGTTAAAACAATTTTTCAGGAAAATAGGGTTTTCAAGTTCAGCAACAGATATTGCTTTATTTTCCCATTATTGATGAAGGCTTCCTTTCTAAAGAAAAGGTTAGGAAGGAAACCACATTGAAACAGTGTAGAATGTCAACATATTTATTATATTGTTATTTTCTCTTTGAGTTACATTTACTATCTGTTTTAGTTGTTTCTGTTGTTGAAAGTCCTCAAGTAATCATGGGAAAAGCTTGGGAGTAAACCCTGAGGCCAAATCCAGAGCTGGAGTCTGTAAGGCAGTCCGCAGAAATTCAAATTCCAAATTGGTGTCTGACACAGGATAATTCACTTTATGGCTTGAAAGAAATCTTTAGCCTCGTGTGGCAGTCTTTCTAGAGATGGTGTCTCAACAAAAACACTTGGATGTAGAGTTGGCGTCCCACATTTTATATCAACTACCGAAAGAAAGATAAAGTCTTAGAGTGTCTGTCATAAACAACCTGAACTTTTATACCCAAATTAAAAAGACGTTCAATAATCAGAAGGTTCAGATGATGGAAGATCTTCCTACTTCTAAACTAGAAATTATTTTTATTTTTTATTGCAAATCGAAGAAAAGAAAATTGAATCGTCATACTTTGCAAGTAAACAATTTTTGTTGATATTTATCACAGTTTTTTGTTTTGTTTTTTTTCTTTTTAACATTCATTGTTTTCTTTTGTCATTCATCCAAGTTTCTGAGCATCATTCAGATCAACATTTGTTATGAAACAATCATCCATGGATTCAAAAATATTTTTAAATGAGCTTTTTTTATCTAAAGCTCAATTTTAAATAAAATAAAAATATCTTTTAAATGAATTTAGTGCAGCACTAGACAAGAAATACATTTCCAAAATGTCTTTAGTTGACTTCTGACTTTCTACTACTTTCCCTCTGGATCATAACAGTGTCTTGTCAGCCTCATTAATGGACAGAGCTTCTAAACAGATTCTAGGATGCAGCTTGACTATACAGACCCACAACCGTTATTGTCTACCTTCTGAATGAGCTGCAATTTTTCTTTACTTGTAGAAACAGTAGATGGTTACTTTAAAAATCTCTCTTTTTAGACTTTACTGTTGATTGTCATAACCCACCAATGCTAAAGGCCCCCTTTACATTCACTTAAAGGGTTTGCTAAGTCAGTCTAGTAGGGACCCATTGTGTCACAAGTCAGTCTTATGTTCTGATAAACCTCAAGGAGCAAAATATCAATTTCAATATTTGTTCAGTTTAGTCTGGTACAAGGTCACAAGTTTTGAGGCCCTCAGTTATAGAATTTGATTCTTGTAACATTACAATGGACATTTTGCTAAAATTTTCTTTCTTTCCATTCAAATTAAGAGTGAAAATCTTTTCTTTTTTCAAGTTGTTGAATCTATTTGAATGCAAACATTACTCTTAGCTGTTTGCATTGTGTTGAAAGATTTCAGTGTTAACCAAAGATTTGATTCACAGTTTTTTTTGTTTATTTCTATGATTTCCTTTTCAAATGAATCTCTTTTAATCATTTTGATTGAAGAGATTTTCTTAAGTTCCTTCATAAATATTTTTGTTTCATTTGCCAGGTGAGGGGAGTTTATCATTGGATGCAACTGTAGCTTCAGGGTCAGGTCGACCCCGTTCTTTGTTGCTCAATGCAGATTTTATGCAAGAATTGGATGGAGACATGGGTGAGGCCCTCCAAATGTTCTCTATTTCTTTTTTTTTTCTTAAGAATTTATATGGTCAATTAATATAACAAACTAAAGTAATTTGTAATTTTGATGAAAATCATGTAGGTGTCAATGTGCCGTAAAGAAATTCAATGAGTTTTTTTTTTCTTTTTTTTTTTTTTTTTTTAAAAAACAAAACTTTACAGGTATCTCAGGTCGTCCTTTGGACTCTCCAATGCGAACGTCTTCACGTCTCTCCAAGACCCTCCTGGAAATTCTGCACGATAAAGAAGCTCTCCCTTATTTTATTCAATATATGGAATCGCGCAATGCTGGCCGTTACGTCCGCTTCTGGCTCGATGCCAAGAGCTTCCAGACTGCTGCATGGACACGGATTCGAACTCACTCTCTCAATGCTCTCGCGAAAAGTTCGTTGGCTGAGATCTCACGGAATGGCACGGTGACACCAGTGTCTTCCTCCCCTCCACACCCCCGACCCTTGTCATCTTCATTCTCGACTGTTACCTCTCTTCCAGCTGTGACAGCCCCATCATTATCCCAGGCCTCTGAAGGCATTTCACTCTCGTCTAGTCACGGTCGTGCAAACGGCAGCCCCCAACAGAAGGACGTCGCAGAAAATTATGTACGGGACAGTTGGCAGCCTGCGGTCAGCACATTCGTCCGACCTGCAGTTCCGTCATCTTTCCCAGCAGCACTTTCATGTGCACACCCACAGATATCACCTTCTTCTACTTCCTCATCTCTGTCATCTCCTTGCTATGCATCGCCGTGTGCCCCTGACCCCGGACTTTTGGCTGAAGTTGTCACAGACGACACGACAATTGATGCACAGACAAGCGATGAAAACGTAAACACAAATCTTCCCCTCACGTACACCACACCAGAGGATGATGTTCCTTTGTCAAGTGGTGAGATTGTAATGGATGACCAAAACAAAACTTGTTCTGCAGTAGAAACCTGCAGCCCCGGTGAGCAGTGGACAACTTCTTTGCCTGCTGCAGTTGTGGCTAGCAGCAAGGTGAAGGAAGAAAGCAGCGGGAATGGAAGTGAATTTGGTTCCTCCCAAACCACACCTGGCAGTGGCACTGGTGGGCTGTCAGAGTTTGGCACAAACAAAATGAACATGGGTCAAAAATTACTGAGTAGTAAGTATAGGTTTTATTCGTTGTATATGTAAATGATGTAACTAGAAGCCAGTTTCTCTTGGTTCCATTTGATATCAAGAAAAGAGTCCCCATTGGGAAAAAATATTCTCTTCATATACCATAAATTATTTGAATCTGGATCTTTGTTAACTAATCCAGTTATTTCCCCTCCTCCAACATAATGGATAGATCCAAGCAGCAGCAGGCTTTTCTCCCTTCCTTCCAACTTGCATTTGCCCAATGAACCCAAAAGTTAAAGCTGGTTAAAGTTTCTCAATTTGACTTTTGATATCTGGAGAGTCTATGCCACTCCAAATTGTGTGGGCTGTAATTAATTTCTACTGGACTTTTTGTTTAACAATCCTCATGTCTAATTCATTTAATCTATTTTCCAACCTTCCTTGGGTGTTTCGTTGCCTCCCAAGAGTTTTTCACTTCCTATAATGGCAACACAAGGGATGATGAGAAACATGGTATGCTAAGTAAAAGCCAAAAAAAAGGATTGAAATTTTAGGGCTAAAAACTGTGGAAATGAAGATACTCATCTGAATTCCAACTCAAGATTAACATTGTATGCACCGACCTTCTTCAGGTGAAGAAGTCCGGAGCGTACAACGGCCAAAACATTGTGATAAATATGGCAACAAAGATGAGGACAATAGTCCGAATAATGTAAATAGTGAACTTTTTTTTTTCTTTATTACTCATTAAAATTGTATTTGTGAATGGTTCTGGAACAATAGTGAAAAAAGTTAGTCTTGAGCCCTGGTCTAGGTAACAGGTGAAATCTGTCTGAAAATCCGGCTAAAGGATGCTTTTTTTGGGTATCCTTTTGTCAATTTGGGATAAAATAATACTACTACTTATGACCCACACAAATGTTGATATGTTTTTTCTTCCATTTCTCCTCTGCAGGTATAGAAAAAGATGCAGTCAGCATCTACACAAAGTACATCTCATTTGATGCCAGCCACCCAATCGGCATTAGTGATGAATTAAGAAATGAGACAACTAGTAAGTCAGCCGCTGATCTTTTTCTTTTGAATTTCAATTTGACAAACAACAATGTTGTGTGTGTCCAGACAGCAAAAACTATTAAACTAACTTAACCTTTGGCACACACATGATTTTTTTTTAGCCCAGCAGTGCAATTGGCAAATTGTGATGACACTAAATTATAACTAAATCTAATTAATCATTGCATTTAAATGTTATGATTTTGTAAGCAAATTTACTTTACCCTTGACAAAAATGAAACTTGAATTGTTTACAATATAGTGTTTGTATAAGGAGAAAATAAAAAAAAAAAAGAGAGAAAGAAGGTCATTTGTGAGGTTATAATAAAAAAAAAAACAATTTTTTTTTCCATTATTTATTGGGTTGACCAAAAATTTTGTTTTCTGAAATAAATTTTGTACTTAACTGAACAAACATTTTGGCAGACCCAATCCATTCAGACTAATGTCATCATATTTTGTTGTTATCAGGTTTCAACTTTTGTGCCCTTCTTCAGATGTCTGTGGATAGGTGTAACCTTCATTTAATTTCAAACTGACCTTTATATAATCTGTTCTTGTTCTGCTGCCCTAGGGAGTAGATCTCTTCTTTTAGTACATCTTAGTTATTGCTAGCTCTGCCCCCCCCCCCGTGTGAGTCTACACAGCCCATTCTCTGTTTGTTTCCCCTGTGTGAGTCTCAGTCTATGCAGCCGAGGCATTGAACAATTATTATGCCACCAGATTCACAAGCCATTAGGCTGTTGTCTCATGGGACAATCCTAAGTCTAGAAGCTTTATTAGGTTTGACTCCAAATTTCAGGTTCTTTACAGCCTTCTGCTCCTGCCAGAGGGCACAACAGCCAAAACATTTTGATTTTAACAACAATGATGAGGATATTAGCCTGAATGAAAAATAACTCCTTGTTTCAGAAATTCAGACAGAAAAAAAAATTCTGGAAATTTTTTTAAAAATCTTTTTTAAATTCATTTTGACAAATTATTTCTTTTATTTCTCTGAAAAAAAAAAAAAAAAAATGGAATAATTCTAATCACAAAGAAATTTTCAAATGTTTCTTTTTTTTTTATTTATTCACACAAAAAAGGTTGAAGTTCACTTTTAATAAAGACTCGGCCAATACCATGCAGTGGCATGAGTCTAAAACATTGCAAAAATTTGCTGTAAGGAGTGTGTGTGTGTGTTTTTTTTATAATCACTTTGTGATTTAATCTTTTCTTTTTTAGGTAAAATATGTCAAGAAGATGGAAAAGTTGACCCACAATGTTTTGTCGATTGCCAACAATACGTCTTGGAACTGATGGAGAAAGAGTGAGGAAAAGATTTTCTAAATACTTTTACTTTAGGCGTTAGTAGCATAGCGTAAGTTTGGGGTGGTTCATGCTTTAACATTCTCTCCCTAATTTAGCATGCAAAGTCTCAGGTGTTTAACAAAATATTGCAATAACAATCATATGGATGGCAGCTGGTCATGTTGTTAAGGTGTGTGCACATGCACATGCACATATCCCATAATAATTTAGTATCGTAATGGCACCAACCTGTACTGTAGCTATAACAGAAAAGCTGTGTGTCTAGGACAAGATAGCCTGATGGATCCCAACCCTGTTCAGTCTAGTTTTGAATTCATAGTTTTCCTTCTCCTAAACTGGTTGCCACTTCTAGACAAGAAAACCCAGTTTGCCCTGCTGTTCAACCCATGGCTGGAGGAGATTGGATTCGTGCCTTTTCCACAAACTGATCGAATCTGAATTGAGCTGGTATTGAACACCTAATTCACTTTCCATGCCGATATTCATTGCACAATCCATGCCTCCCATTTGATGTCTTCAATTTCACTGAAGCAGACATTAAACATATGAGAGCATTATTGCCTCTATCTTCCTGTTTTCTTTCTCTCAAAACGTCTCTGATATCTTTCCTGGAAACCAAACTGGAACAGCCTGTTATTTATGAGATATTAGCAGGACGTAGCGGTCATGCTAACTAAGGAACAAACAGAATCTTGTGATACTTATATTTAAACTCTGTCATTTAATTTATTAGAACGATATCAATTCTAATTTAAATTTTTTGCCACTATTTAAAATAAATGTATAAAAAAAAGCATTACTTATTTTTTTCTAAATCTTTTCTGTGTATTTTCTTCCAGTTTAAACTCCAACACTATCTATAGATGGAGTTGGCATTTTCCAATGAAGGTTTTTAATATATATCACTGTTGAGCAGCCTCTGATTTTTCCATCTATTGCAATGAAAGGGTGTTCTCTTGAGCAGGTCTCTTTCCGTGAGCACCAAATGGGACTCAAGCTTAACCCAGGCCTCGTGGAACTGATATGTGCAATCATTTATTAAAAATGCCACACATTTGAACAAATAAACCTATGAACATAAGTCTATTCATAAAATCTCTTCTTACAAATACGTGCTCCCCCCCCCCTCAGAAAAAAGAAACCAGGTTAATTCCTTTTTAAAAATATAGATGCTTATGAGAGCAAACTATTTTGGCTGCCCTAATGCAGATCAATTTTGAAACATTTTTGTATTTTCATTTACCAAACTCGTTGTGTGGAGATATAAAAAAAATACGATAATGTTCCCCCCCCCTTCATTAAAACACTTTACCAAAAAAATAAAACAAAAAAAAAAACAACCTTATTCACAAGGAATTTTCCTTAATTTACCTTCATTTTCTCTACAGACATTTGACTTTCATAAACTTTACGACATTCTAAACACCATGTTTCATTATTTGTTAAATTGTTCATTTTCATCTCTTCTGCTTCCACTTGAAGAGATTTTGTCCACATTAGCAAGTGAACCAGTGCCTTTGGTGTGACCACACATGGATTTATAAAATTACAGCAACATATTTGCTACTGTAAAAAAATTTTTTAAATTTAACCCTTTGCCTATCCTGTGCATCATATGCAATTTCCCCGCCCATGCATCATACGTGGTGCCCACAAGCCATGATGTTAAAATAGGTGGTAAAACTAAGGATGCTTAAGAAAAAAAGTCTACTATCGAGCAGGACTTCTAAGGAAAAGCCTAATCTAATATTTTATGCATCATATATGACCACAGGACACTTGACTGATAATGTAAGGTCTTAAATGAAAAACATCTATTTTTTCCACTTTATTGAAATGATTATAACCTTTGCATCACATGTGATGCACAGAGCATAGTGTAAATAACTTATGGTCTGTATGTTCTGTGCATCACATGGGATGCACAAGTTTTTATATGAAAAGCACATTCTATTTGCCAAATGAGCTGAGTTGCCTTACAATAATTATAAATCTGAAAACTCTTTTTTTTTTTTTTTTTTTTTTTGTTTCTGCAACAAATTGCCAAGATGATAAAATCTAGGAAGTCCCTTATGACCTCCGCCTCAAAAGTTGAACTTGTTTCCTTCCCAAAAATGACAGATGACCCACCCCCAATCTAAAATTTGTTTTCAAGTTGGAACAAATTTCTGATTTTTGCACAGGTTATGTGTTATTTCGCAAATCCTGTTTCCACAGAGTTGACATTCTTATTGTTGGCATAATCGAAGATCTCCTGAAATCCAAAATCAATTTGAATAAAAAGGCTTCCAAAATCTTTTTTACATTAAATCAGATGAGAATTACAATTTTGTTTGTGAAATGCTTTAGCAAATTGTTTGGGAAAATGGCCAGTTCAACTGACATCTCCCTACACAAGACTAGGATATTTATATTAAAGCATTGCAAGGAAGACGTTGTGTGTGCGTCTGGGGCTGGGTGTGGGGTTGGTTTCAACTTCATTTTCCTCAATGGTTTGCTCTGTCACTTTGCTTTGATCGTAAACGTTCTTGGTGAGTTGTCTCTTCTTAGTGATGCAACCATAACAGAATATAATCCTCAAACTGTAAGACAAACCTGCGCCTGGATTGTTGCTCCTGTTGATATTTGTATCAGATTCAGCAGTCTATTGCAAAAAAAAAAAGAAGCCTCATAAGGGAGAGTTGTCAAATGTTTTTACTAGCAGTTGCCATGTGTTGTGCTTATTCACATATTGCACAGATTCAGAATTCGAATGCTTTTGCTTTAACATTTGACCTGTTTTCTCATTTCAGCTACTACCCAGACTTCCTGCATAGTGTATTCCACTGTAAGCATCAAATAAATGTGTTGACAAGTGGTAAGGTTTATTTGGCAGACATTTTACACAACGACACAGCCATTTTCTACTTTATGGAGGTGAGATTTTAAATATTGCACGTCTCTACAAACGTTGATTGCATTTGATGTTAATGTTGTGTACTTCTGCTAGATTTACATATCGAAGATTTGCCTGAATATATATATATATATATATATATATATATATATATATATATATATATATATATTGTGTGTGTGTGCACAGTATATGAGAGAGATGTTAATGGTCAGAGTTGAACTATATCAGGAAACAGTATTATAAAAAACTGATCAATACACATATAAAAACATAAAAATTTAACATGTAGAGCTTTTAAGTATAAAAAATTAGGAAATCAGTCAATTCCACTATTTTCGTTTCAACCTTTTGGTATCTTCAAGTGATTTTGGTCAATTGATTTCCCAATGCTTTATTTTTATTTTTTTAATAAATATATTAATCCTGCTTCATAAATTACAAAATGTTAAATCCAACCATCCTGCGAGTATAATAAAGCATATCCCTAAAGGGATAGAGTCCAGGTTATCTAGAAATTCCTCTAGTAAAATAATTTTTGAAGATAAAAAAGAAAGAATATGAAAAGACTTTAAAAGAAGATGGGAATGAAACCAAACTGGAATTTAAACCTCAAATAAAACAACAAATGAAGAATAATTTAAAGAAAAGAAAAAAATATTATTTGGTTTCCCCCCACCCTTTTAACTTAGATGTTAAATGTAGAATAGAGAAAATATTTTTCTTACTAAACATTTCCCTAAAAATTCCAAACTAAATAAAATATTTAATAAAAACAAAGTTAAATTAAGCTACAGCTGTAGTAGACATTTAGAAACCACGATAAAATGACAAAATGCCAGAAATTTCAAAACTAACGCTCAACAAAACATCGTTAACAATGAAATATGCAACAGTATGAATAAAAGTAGATGTCCATTAGATGGAGTTTGCAAAACTGAAACAGTAATTTACAAAGCAGGATTAATAGATACAAATGACCAGAAAAAATATACATAGGGTGTACTGAAAGTAACTTTAAGAAGAGGTAATATAATCACAAGTCCTCTTTCAAGCTAAAAAGTCTTAAGAATTCTACTAGACAAGCCAACCATGTGTGGAAATTAAAGGGAAAAAAATAACAAAAATCTGATTGTAAACTTGCAAATTTAAAACAAAGGCAACGAGTATGGAAAATTGTAATTTGTAAAATTGTACTGAATTTACTAAATATTTATTTGGGGTTCAAATCCTACCGATACCTTTCTCATAATTTTGTAGGCTCTGGTTAATATTTCTAAACTGAACCTTATTCTGTGAGGTTCCAATCTTAGTTAATTAGTCTGCCATACTTTTATTTACTTAGAATTCTTAAGTCTCTCAATACGTGAAGTCACTAAACATTTTATTTATTATTATGACTCAATCAGTGCCACTTCGCCCCCCGTTACAGAAACAGATTAACAACAAGTTGATAAATGGACATTAATTTGATTCTTGTTTAATTTTCCTCCAAACCTTTCAGTCCTGATTGGATAAACTTTCTTGTGCTTGTCCATCCCTTTTATCAAAGAAATACGTACCTTTATAATTTGGTTCTGTACAACTTTAATTAATGTTAAGCCATTAATCGCCATTTAATTAATTATTGTTAAACCATTAATGGACTTGTCAAAATCTTTGGGAATCTGTGTTGCCTAAAGCCTGCTGCCTAAATTCTTAAGACGACTCTAGAAAAATGACCGTGTGTGCACACATTGATTTTAATCAAGTTTGGACGACTTCAGGTGGCAGCAAAACAAGGAACAAGTAAGAGTATCAGGCAAAGACAAATTTGTCCCAGAAAATATTTCTTGCCCAATTTTATAAACATTCTTTTTTTTTTCTTTTCCTCCCACCAAGTTTATGGAACAGGAAGATGCCATCAACCTGTTTCAATTCTGGATGGCAGCTGAGAATTTCCAGCAACATTTGTCCCTCTCTCACGGCTGCTACGACGGTCTCCAAGCACAGGAAGATGCCATGGTGCTTTATGATAAGTAAGAACACCACCACCACCATTCATTTTCTTTCTCTCTATATCTAGGCAGGTATATACATGTATAGAAAAATGGTCCCTAATTGAACAAATCACTTGGTGAAAACATGGATCTTTTGAAAGCACTGAACATGCTCATTACTTTCTTTCAAGGCAATTAACTTTGGCTTGGCCGTGTGTGTACGCGGACGGAGGGGGGATAAGCTAGAGATTCTGGATGTAATTAATTTAATTGGTTTTATTGTTTATATCAAATAGTGCAGTATCTCATCAATAATTTAACATTGTAAGTCAGTGTTTTGTTCATAAGACTGTTCAAAAGGCATGAACCTTCTGCACCCTTTACCATACCATTAAGATATAGCTTCAAATATTTTATGATTCAAAACAATCTATTTCCATTTTTTTTTTTTTTCTTCAGGTATTTTTCCTTGCAAGCCACCCAACCTCTTGGCTTTGATGATAAAATACGATTGGAGGTTGAAAGTAATATTTGTCGAGAAGGGGGACCACTGCCCGATTGTTTTGCTAAACCAAAGAACATGGTGCTTCGGGTTATCGAGAAGGTAAGGCTGCAGATTCCATTTTGCCAGCCCCCCCCCTCCTTCAATTCAATGCTTCATCTGTTTGATTAAAAAAAATGACACTTACTTCTGCTACAAAATAACTGACTGATATGCAAGCACACCTTCTCAGCTCTGATGATTAGAGTTTACTTCTTAGCAGGAGATAAATAATTACTATAGACCAATCTAGAAACTTGTCCAAATGTACTGATGCCCTTTTAAACTTAATGTCTCCTCCACTTCATACAGTCATCTTGTCCTGTAGTCTCCTGTTGCTTCAGAATGTGTCAACTACCCCTGCAAATCCCCAAAGAGGCCCCACCTGTTGGTCATGGGTGGTGACCTGTGATGGGATCCTGGTGATTGAGGTGCTTCAGGAGAAAGGATGTTTTCACTCCTGGACTCCAACACATCACATTGGCCCTTACCTCAGTTAGACAGGCAGTTGGAGAGGGCCTGATCTGATCAAGCCAAGCCCTGATTCAGATTTCTGCAAACTCTGGAGAAGGTTGAATCAGCAGAAAGTGGTGGAAAGGTGACAGCTGTAGGAAGGGACATTTTGGTTTCAAACTAATCCTCATCAAGAAGTTAACTTGGGAACTAAGGCTTGCAAAGTTAAACAATTTTTACCTTGTCATGATGTAAGTATACTGACTGTGTAGCCTTGATCTACCCAGGTGAATGAACTCCCCCTCCTCCCTTGGCATTTGCCCTTGTAGGGCTCCTTATTGAGTGGGGAGTACAGTCAGTGAAACATAATTTCATTATATGGATACAGAAAGAAAAACCCAAGTAAAAAGACTCCAGATGGAGTCAGATTCGGATCAAGAGCAGGCTGAGGTAATCTTTCCTAGATTCATAATATTAAAAATCTATCACCATTCCTAGTACTTGGGCTTATATTCTCAATTTTTAATCCTAAATCAATAAAAAAACTTAAAAAAATGGAACCATTCTGGTAGAAATACCAAATGAAAAAACATGCAAGCATATTGCTAAAGAATAAAAAATTCCATAATATAAGTGTAAAAACATAGCCACATGAAAGATTAAACACCTCCAGGGGTGTAATTTATAATGGTTTCTTTGAACCATACAAGAGATAAAAGTTGAGTTAAAAAAAAACAAAACAAAACCGTATAATAAATAAAAAAAAACGTATATATATATATATATATATATATATATATATATATATATATATATATATATATATATCTATCTTTTTCAACACACCCACACCACCAACTGAAATTAAAATTGGCTGTTTAATAGCTAAAGTAGATAAATATATTCCAAATCCAGGAAGATGCTACAACTGTCAAAGACCTGGCCATCTAAAGGAGTATTATACAAAAATGACATGTGCAAGATGGGGGCTAATTGAATCAAACCATGATGATATAACCTGTAAAAATAAACCAAAATGTATCAAGTGCAATGGAGATGACAGAGCTGGATGCTAAAGAGAGCAAGACCTGGGGAAATAGAAAAAACAAAAATCACTGAAAATATTAGATTCCCAGAGACAAGAAAACTTATAGAAACCCATTTCTCACTACAAAAAAAGACCAAAACAATTGCGAAATGTAAATGAAAATCAAGGCAATAACCTGACAAAAAACAGAAAAACATTTAACATCATTAATAAATGAATTGCCAAATCTCATTAAAGCCCTAAAATCCAGTTTAACAAATATGGAAATATCTCTGTTTACCAACTTAAGCCGCAATAACTGAAGAAAAGAATGAAATAGAAATCAGTGAGTAAAAACGTAGGCACTTATCTGAAGGACAAGAGAAAAAAAAGCCAAAAACCAATCCAAAATAGCGAAACAAGGACAAAGGAGAAGTTTGAAAAACGTGAACAAATGGAAATCGAAATGGATCGTACATCTTCAAAACATCAAAAACAAAAGATGGCATAACATGGCAAAGAAAACAAGAATCTTAGAATGGAAAGTAAATATGGATTTTACTTAAATATACAATAAAAGGACATAAAAATCTAGTAAAAGTCAAAACACACACACACACACACGCTTAATCAACCGTTGTACACAGACATATTGAAATGCATAATTTTTCTTTGCAAATTATAACAATGATTTAAAATCAATCATCATTTTCTTACAAAAAAATGTGATACGCAGCAAGGTGCAGGTAATTCAGCTAGTATAGCTATAAACTTCCAGCCTATATAAAACTGTTAACATTTGCTCAGTATATATTCTGCCAAAAGACACCGTAAACAAAGAAAAGCTCCAATGTCTGATAGACGATTATTCTATGAGGTTTGACTTTAATAGTCACAGCACAGCAAAAATAAAGACACAGACCAAAAGGAAAAAACTGTGGAGAAACTTATAAATGAAAATGACTTCTGCTTACCCGAGAAAGGAGGACATATGTATATGAACTCCTTTTTCGGGGAAACTCTTCAGCCGTTGATCTGACTATATGTGACCCAACAGTAGATATGGACTTTTCTTAATATGTAAAAGATGACACTTATGAAAGTGACCACTTCCCAATTCTCCTGGAAAACGTTAAACTGGGTAGTGAAAATATATCCTGCTGGAAAATGGACAAAGCAAATTGGGACAAATTCAAAGAATTTTGTAAGCAAAATTTAACCCAAAATAACAAAATATAGATTCACTAGAATGCTTTACAGAAAATACTAATCACTGTAGTAAAGAAATGCATCTCCTAAAATTAAATAACAAAACAGACAAAAGTTCAATAGGAAAAAGCCACATGATTATGAAAGGCATCTCTACAAAAATTTAACAAAGAACCTAAAAATGTAAACTTAAACAATTGCAAATTACATAGAAGTATGACAGAAACCAAAAAAGAATGTTGGCAAAAATATGTTAAGAAATTAAACTCATCCTCAAAAAGAAAATCAGTAAAAATAACAAAGCTACACCAATTGAGTATCTTTTCAAAAATAACAATATCATAACCAACAAAAAGGACGTGGCAGGCACACCAGCTGAAACGATTTCTGAAAAAAGGACGTGGCAGACACACCAGCTGAAACGATTTCTGAAAAAAGGACGTGGCAGACATACCAGCTGAAATGATTTCCAAAAATTCCTTAAGTAAAAATGATCAACAAAAATTCCTCTTCCTAAAACAAAACACAGAAAAATATAAACTCAGTTTTACATCTAGCAACACAGAAAGCTACAACAACCTAATGAGTTTAGCAGAATTGACATCCTCCTTAAAAAGATACCATAACACAGCAGCTGGACTTGATGAAGTCCAATACGAATTGCTAAGACATTTACCAGAAAAATCCTTAGAACTTCTAAAATTATACAATAATATATGGGTAAATGGTAATTTCACAGATATTTGGAAATAGACTAGAAATATCAGTCCCAAAATCCAGAAAGGACAACTTTGACCCAGAAAACTACAGATCTATTTCACTGACCAGCTGCCTGTGTAAAACCATTGAACGGATGACAAATGACAGATTTATCTGGTACTTGGAGACAAATAAACTAAGTATTAACCTACAATATGGCTTCATAAAGAATGGATACATGTTGGACCACTTAATTCACTTAGAAACAACTACGAGAGACACATTTGTTCAAAAAGAACACTTCTTTTTTTGATTTGGAGAAGGCATACAATACCACAAGGGAAATATGGTATCATGAGAGATCTGTATGCCCTCGGTCTAAAAGGCAGACTAGCACAATTCATAAATGGCTTTTCTTATTAGCGAAAAGTTCAGTCTGGGTTGGATCATCTCTCTCTGACTTAAAAAGAAAAAGAAGAGGGAGTACTCCGAGGCAGTATTTTATCAGTAACACTGTTCAGTATAAAAAGTAAATAATAAAGTCAAAAGCTTAACCTGCAGAGTAGAAGGGCTTTTGTGTGTAGATGACTTCCTTCATTTTTTACAAATCCAAAACCATAGAATGAAAATTACTGCAGTGCCTTAATAAAATGAACCAAAATGGGTGACTGAAAATGGTTTTAGGTTTTCTAAAACAAAAGCTAAATGTATGCATTTTTGTCAGAAGAGAAAACTACACAATGATCCTAACTCTAAGACTAGAAGAGATAGAAATACCACTTGTAGATCAGCATAAGTTCTTGTGAATAATATTTGACAAAAACCTCACCTTTATCTACAATGTGAAATATCTCAAAGAGAAATGTAGTAAATCAGTACAGCTCTTACAAAGATTTTACAAGTCTCTAATTCGAACAAAACTAGACTATCGCAGCATCATATACAGATCATCAAGAAAATGCTATTGAATAATTCTTTGATTCTACTAGCCATGGAGGATTAAGATTGGTGCCTTGGGCTCTTAAAATGATGCCATCTGAAAGTTTATATGCAGAAGCTGACGAAACTCCTCCTAATCATCTTGGATGTGAAAAACTGGTACTGCAGTATTATACAAAACTAAAATCTTGTTCATCTAACCTGGCCTATAAAAATACATTCCTTCTTCAACACAGAAACCTCTATCGGCAAAAAGAAAAAAACTAAAAAATATTTGGGTTTCAAATGGAGCCCCTTATCAAGGAATCAAAAATACAACTTGCAACAGTCCATGATAATATCACTTCTAACATTGCTCCCTGGACCATATATCTCCAAAAATAATATTAGACTTATACAAATTCAAAAAAACCAGTATGGATCCTCTTAATTTTCAGGAAGAATTAAAAAAAAATCAAAGAAAACTCTCCTAGTCACACACCTATCTTTACAGATGGGTCCAAAGATGGAAACACAAGAGAATGTGCAGCAATATCTCAGAAGAAAATAAGCAGCAAGTGCCTCTGGGACAAAACCTTCATCTAGCATTCAGTATTATTTCAACAAATAAAAACAAAAACAAAAATTATAGTCTTTTCTGATTCACTATCAGTTTACTAAAAAACCCGACAAGCCATTAATAGTGAAGTTTGCTGAATGAATTCAATATCCAAGTCTAAAGATGTGATGTGTTGGATTTTAAGTCATGATGGAATCATTGGAAATGACAAAAGCTGACTCAGCTGCTAAACATGTTGAAATCATAGAAATCAACTTTAACTTCAAGATCTTTTACATAGACGTAAAAGTGAAATAAACAGATTTATCAAGCAAAAATAGCAACAATGTTGGAGTAACAGTGCAGCAAATAAATTGCTGAAAATCAAGCCAATACTTGGGGAATGGAAGTCAAAATACCAAAAAATCCCAAAATGAAGAGACCACCTGTGTATTGGCCACACAAGGATTATGTAGTTGTACTTATTGAAAGGGGAAAGAACTAAAAATATATGCAACGTGTCCAACTACAGACACTATAATTTTTTTTTTTTTGCCAGCAATCTCTGCAAAAAAAACAAACAGTTTTACTAACTAAAAATTGTAGACTTCATACTGGAGTCATACAATAAACTAGTGATTCTCAACTGGTATGCTGCAAGATCTTCTTGCAGCATACCAGTTGATGTGCAGTGAAATAGTGTCATCATGTGTGTGTGTGTGTGTGTGAGTGAGTGAGAGAGAGAAGTAAAGGTACAGTGTTAGTATTTGAATAAATAAATAAATATTAAACTTTATTTTTAAATAATTCTTTTTGCTATTCTTCGATTATTTCAATAACTTTGTTTTAATATTCATTTTTTTAAAAAAGTATTTTTATTTTTTAACTTTTAAAAAATTTTCCTTTATTTAAATAAATGAATATTAAACTTTTTTTCATATATTATTATATTTCATAAATTTGTTTAATTCAAAATTTTAATAAAGTTATATTGAATTATGAATTAATATTGTCAAAAAGTTTCCGATATGTAGCACTGAGCATTTGATATTACAATTTTTAAAAGTATATAACTGAAATTTGTACTTATCGTACATTCATTGAAACATTGAAGAAATCAAAAAAGAAAAAAAAAAACAAGGTAAAAGTTTCACACTAAAAGCCGCAAAATAGTTGAATAGAAACAGTGAAATAAAGTAAGTTCAGATTTGTGTACGTAATTTAGTTTTTTTTTTAAATCTATGGTTTTATTTCATAACATTTAAATGTATACCATTTAAAAATTTTGCTAAATATGCCATGATATTTTCATTTGCTTCTAGGTGTGCCGTTGCTTAGAAAAGTTGAGAAATACTGCCTTAACATAACCTTTGACCTTCAGTAGCCCCCTGGGTCTTGTACAGGATGAACCTTACTGTAAAAAAAAAAAAAAAAAAATCATGCAGCCTTCTATCTTATTTAGATATTGAGCTCACACATTGTCATTTTGCTCTTACAAACATATAATGTTGAAACACTGGTTTCCATACAATCATTGAAGTTAAGCAATGTCAAGCCTGCTCAGTACCTAGATGGGTAACCACTTAAAAATAACAGGTGTTGTAAACTTGGTGTGTGTGTTGTAATGGATAATGGCTTAGTACTGTTAATCTGAGAGCAGAGTTTCAATTCCAGCTTTGTCATACTCACGTACATGCAAATATCATTGGGAAAGGTATGAATCCACCTCTTCTCCTCCACAATTAGTAAGACTTGTATCACTAAAAACATTATTATCCAAAGAAAAAAATTGCATGCAAAATATTTAGATCCTGGCATTAAATAACCTCTAGAGGTTGATATATGTCTAAAGAAAAGAACGTTATCATTTTGGACATCAGTGAGTGGAAGAAACCTATTGAAGACAGTTTGGCCTCTTTTAAAAAAAGACCATCTTTCTCTACATGCTGGATATCGTCGGTCTGCTACCAATATCTGATAGCAACTTGCTCAATGTTCACTTCTATAATTTCAGTCTGTGATTCCATTTTTTTTTCTCTGTTTTCAGGTCTACTTTCCCAATTTCCTCCGTGGAGATCTTTATTATAAATTCCTTTCAGAATTGATCAACACAGTGCAGCTTGCCAATGACTTGCCTCAGAAATCAAGAAAACGCCTTGGTAAGTGAACATGCTATCTTCGTTTCAGAGGCTTTTATTTGACTCTTCTTGGTGCAAGTCGAAAGCTTCCTAATATCCTCACCGTTACATTTATTCCAGGCAGTGACGCATCCTCAGAAAACAGTGCTGGAAGCCAAAGTACCGGGGCAGAGAGCGTGAGTTCCCGCAACACCTTGTTGGCCACTGACACAAGCCACTTGAAAAAGGCCCTAAATAAAATGCAAGTTGATTTGCGCATTGACTCTGTGCTTCTTAATCCGGATGCTTTATGGAAGAGGAATGCTCCAGGGTATGTATCATCTCTCTTTTAAGGTGTAGATGGCAGTAGAAGTTCTTTACTACACGTTCCTGTACTAATTAATCATAAGTCCACTATCAATTCAATTCTACAAGAACCTTTTCTTGGGAAATTGTACTCTATACATTCTCATTTTCATATCGAGAACCAAATGATTTCGGAGCATGTAAAATTGTAAGCATTTGTCACCCATCCTCAAAAAATTATGACAAGAAGCAACAAAGAAAAGCTTTGCATCAAAATCTAATTAATGTGACTGCATATATATCTACAACAGATCCTAACAAAAAAATTAGGTTAATCATATACTACACTAAATCTAGTATATTCAACTTAATTATTCACAATGATTCTTCCCCACTCCTCGTTAGCGATTTGCAAAATACCAACATAGTTTACAAATTCAAGTGCCCTTTGGGAGATTGTATCTCCAATGGATTAAATAATATTTATGTTGGTCACACCACAAACTTGCTTTCATGACACTTCTCTACATTTGAATGATAGCATTTTTAGGCTTTTAAAACAACATACCTGGCCACATACACAATTCCAGAAAATCCTCGTTGAAAATACAAATATACTTAAACATGAAAACAATAAACGTAAACTAAAATTCTTGAAGCTATATACATAAAACAGTTGAAACCTAACCTGAACAAAATAAACTATGAAATCTCCACAAATATCCTTAAATGTCTGTAATTGGTAACAGAAGCCATTGGTTTATACCAACGGCTTCCCATACTTAATACTTCTTGTTTTCACTCTCGTGTGGTCATGTGTGACGTCACAAGCTGTGGCGCAATTTTTGCTTCTGCCTCTTGTATACACGAGTTTGTCGTTGCTGTGAAATTTTTCATGCAACAAAAACAGACTATCATTATTGTTTCATCCGTGTATTAGTTGAGATATTGAAAAGTAATTGTCATCTTTGATAATGGCTTATGTACACCGAAAGCTTAGATTGGATTTAAACATGTATCAATATGGTGATTTCCTTTTGTCTTTTAATGATAATGTTATTAAGCTTATCAGACAATATGAAAGGAACTTATTTAAAATAAATAGACAAAACTTGTCTATATTATTTAATGAAACACACACATATATATATATATATATATATATATTGGGAGTAAAAATTGACCAGGTCATTCATGTTTATATTGTCCTTTCAGATATACTTTATCTGATATTTTTCACACACAAACACACATATTATATAATTGTTATAGCTTATCTAAATTGCAAACCAATGCCTTGGTTTGCTGAATAGAAATCTGTAAATTGTCAAAAAACCAAATTCATGCTTACACACCCACCTGCCATTGTACAGTTGAAAAGTTAGGGAGTTTGTCAGTTGCAGAAATGTGCAATATAGCAAAGGCAAATTTGGTGCGACTAACAATTGTAAGGATTTGGCAAGTCTTTATCCTACATGTCAACTTCATTTGTGTTATTTTTGGATTACTGTATTTGGCAACTTTTTGTCATTTCTTCATAGATTGGTAAGGTTCCTGCAACCACAAGTATCTGATCTATTAATGCCGTCTTCTCTTTGGTTGGTTTGGGGGGTGGGGGTGCTACCGTCATGTCAATGGAAGTTTTTCTATGCAATCACCAGGTAATCGATAAAGATGAATTTTCCTTTCCATTCTTATGAAAAGTTAAATTTCTGCTCCACTTGTCCTTTACCAAATTTGCAGAGGCATGAAACAGAAAATCCTTGCTTTTCTACAACAGAGAACTGGTTTCATGCCTTTTTGTTTACTGTGCACAGAATTTTTAAATCTATCTCCTCAAAACTAGATTATTTTTCTCCAGATCAAATGTAATCAGTCCAAATGTTCAACTCTTCTCAGCATTTCAGCCTTTGCAGAAATGCTGCAAATCTAGGCAGTTGTGTGTGTGTGCGGCTTGAACACTTTTTATTTCTCAAAATCCCAACCTGTGTACTTACAGATTGTACCACTCCACAGCCTCCTCTGACCTGTCTCAGCAGGCCAACAGTGAACCGTGAGTTTAGTTTTATGATCCACAAAAAAACATCCTAATCCAATCTTTCTACCTCATTTGTTTAGTTGGCTTTTACTGTTGCTCTGCATCCCACCCCTCCCCTGCAACTACCCACTTTTTTCTTTTTCACCCTGCATCTCGTTTCCTCAATTGCCCCCCCCCCGACCACCTACAAAAGCTTTGGTCATCTATATTTTTGTTCTTTTTCTGGTTTTGTGATCTTTTTTTTCTTTTTTTTGTTGCTCGTTTGCATCTTTTCAAACGTTGACAAAACAACTTGCCGGTTTGCATTACTCCTACTCAGAGGCGACAATTAGCTTTTCTTTGATTCTCACTGCTTTTTCCTTGCTGTCTTTTACTTCCCACTTGGGCAGCCCAAAAAATTTCCACTTGGAATCAACACAAGGGGAAATAACTCTACTGCTTAACGGTTTCAATGATCCTTAATCTTTTTGTCTACGTTGCATGACACTGATGACCATTGGCCATGTTTTCTTCTTTATCAAAGGCTGTAAGAGAGAACTTTCTCTTTGTCCCATTAAGACTGCCTGTCACACAATAAATTTGAAGAAAAATAGAATTTTAGACCAGAATAAAACTGAATTCACACTTGGCAAAAAAAAAAAAAGAGGATTGCATAATTTTCTTGTTTCTGATAGGATGATAATTGCCAGTTAAATAATAAACTTCATTTTCAAAGTTTTGGGGAATGGAAACTTGAACTTTTTGGTCCTTATGTTCCTTTCACATTTGTCCTGTGCAGCATTTAAAACTCACAAGAATGAAATCTGTGTATGTATGTATGTATATATATATATATGAGAGAGAGTGAACCTCTCCTTCTTATTGTGTGTATATGTCAATTACATACAACTTTCTGCCTGTTGCACACGAAATGATTAATGGTGCTTTTCTTTTTGTTTTCTCTCCTCACGGACTCAGGAAGATGTCATTTGGTCACATTAATGACCTTGGACAATTTGTATCTGAGTATGACCCTGAGCCAGAACTTGAAAAGAAAAAATGTAAGTTTTTGTTGGCCTTTCAAAATCGTGCAAAGATTTGTAAAGTTAGATTTGTGTGTATTTAATTAAAGTCGTCGCATGAGGATGGAATTTATTGAACTTCTTCTTTCTTTATGTTGTATTTACTTATTTCTTTTGTTTAATATGCAGCTTCCATGTTTTTCCGGAAGAAGAAGGATAGAGAAAAAGTAAGTTTGTGTTTAATCTCTCTTCAAATGCATTCTGCAGAACCAAAAATAATGACAAGAGACAGTTTTGTCTTAGGATTGGTTTTTGTTCTGAAAGTAATTGAAAAACTCAAGAATGGCTTTTGGCAAAAAAATTATCTTTCAAAAGTTGTGAGAATTGTTTTCAGTAAGAGAAATATCTATACAATCAAAGAAGAAAAAAATAGTCTGTGTGCGTGCGTGCACAGCAGTCGGCAATACTCAATATTCCCACATGTACAAACCATGTAGACATCTTTCTTCTGTAGATATAAATACTTTCCCATATATATAAAAAAAAAAAAGGCTATAAAGCAGATACCACAAAGCATCAGTTGCCTTGTAGTCTTTTTCAGTCAACACTGCTATTAGTACAAGCTCAATTACCAGATATCATTTCAGATCATTGCCAGTGATCTATTTTTGTGAGTAATATTCTTTGACCAAAAGCTGCTCATTTAAATTTGTAATAGAAAATGAAAAACCAACCTTGTGCCAAAGTTTTTGTGTTGATTTCAAGAGTTTTCCCTGCTGAAAATGAATCTCTTCAATGTTTATATTCAAGAAGACAACCTTCTATGTTAGCCCCAGAGTGTGTTGGGTGTTTCTATATAGTCGGATTTAATTTCAGGAACAAGAGGACATGGCTGTCCAGATTGCCCAGATGATCATATCAGATGTAACGTCCATTACCCAAGCCAACCAGAACCCATCCCACCAAAACCTACAGTCAGCTTATGAAGCCACATGATATAAGCATTCAATAATGGTAAATATGCTAGATTTGTTCAAATTCCTCCTGTTTCATTCTATCAAAATTAAAACAAAACTAATAATGCTTATATACTTGTCATTATGGAAATTTTGCTCATATTGTTAATGATATATACAGTGTGTGTGGTAAAAAATATTTTTCAATATGTTCAAATTTAGAAAAACAGTAAATGTTTTTCAATAAAACCATCCTCAGCCTCAAAGCAGGTGGAATTTTATTTTGTTGGCCATGATGGGTGCAATAACAGGTTTCATATTGTAAGGCCAGTGATTGTTCTCCCTCTTGCCAACACCCTCATACATAGTTCTCCAGGGGGCAGTGGGGGTACTAAAAATACCACATATTGAGAGTAACATCATTGTGAAAATTCTCAACCAGCCACTCTTAGGTTGCACTTGTCTATGTGGAACATATACAGCTGCTTTTCAAACCTGATTTTGACAACTGTTTATCACCTCAATGTAGGTGGTGCAGGAAGAAGTAGAGTTGTTGCAAATGGCCCCTAGGAACATCACTGAGGGTGCAAACTTTGTCTGGTTAGCAGCTAATACTACAAGTATGTTGTATCTTTTCATTTCTCATGTCAGATACCATGTTAATGCTTTCAATATATCCAAAAGAGAAATTAGAATGTTAAACTGCATGCACCACATTTTTCATAGTTTTCTATAAATACCTTGTGCCCACACTAATATATCTCCCACGGAAATATCTTCTGTTAATAATGTTAGTTGTTTTTTATAGTATAGCATTCAGATATTTTTATCTTGCTCTGCAAAATCTTACACAGGGTGAGAATTATTAAAGATTGTAGATTCAAATGGAAAATGGTTCAAAAAGTCAGATTGAAAGGGTTAAGATAATTCGTGCATCTTATTTTCATAAAGCATTCTAAACAATACTGGCAATCTACAAAAGGAAGAAATTTTAATAAATGCTAATTGTCACTTGATAAAGCACTGGATTGTCGGCCCAGATACTAATTATTCCAAATTTGATTGTGATGATTTTTTTTTTCTATTTCAGGACTGAAAATGATGTCCTTGTATAAAAAAAAAAAGAAAAAAAAGTACTGAATGAAATTCAACCATATTGGACTGATTCATTCAACACAAAACTGAATCCCACCCGTTTTTTCTTTCCTCAATATTTTCCTTTCCACCTTACCAGAGGAATTCTGTTTGTAATAAGAATTACAGAGGCTTGTGTGTACATATCTAGCTAAAGAGGGCAGAGGATCCTTCTGTCTGTCCCCCAACTACTTCAGTTGCTCACAACCCTGCCAGTTTATCATCTGATGATGAAAAGAAGAACTTCAGCTCAAGTTGTGAAATTAGTTCTTTTCCTACTTGAAGTGATCTAATAAAAAGGTTCCTTTTTTCTTTTTTTCTTTCTCTCTCTTTTTTTTTTTTTTTAGATTCCTTTCAACTCTGACCCCTCCACCCATCACTACCACAAGACAAATATGACTAATAAAGATGAGGATTTACAATAACAACCTATTCAGTAATTACCTCATCTTTCTTATATTGTTTTGGCTTCCACAAACACCTTGTCTCTCCTTTCCCCATTAGATATTGGCTGTGACAACATCCTCACCCCGTTCCTGAGCTCCCTACATTTTAACACCTGCTGTCGTTTGAATGTGCATGTTTGCTGATGGGCTCTATTGTCTCGGTTGTTGCTTAATGACATTGAAAACCTGAATTATTCCAAAGTACTGTGATGAAGTCTTTCAGCTCTGGCATAGCAGAAATCTTTTCTTTTCTGGCTGGATGTGGGGAGAGACTAAATTGAAATGAAAGAAACTGGCTTCCAGTTGTGCACTCTTCCATCACGGACAAAATTACTTACTCAAATGTTGATGGTCAGATTGCAAACCAAGCTCCTAACAGTTTGTCTAGCACTTGGTTTTCAAGACATCTATAAATTTCCTGGCCCCAAGCAAATTAGGCCAACTTTCTCCTTTTGACTTCCTTAGCATTGTTAATGGTAAAGCAGAGATCTGTTCATTGAGGTTTCCTTTTGGCACAGCAGATTGATTTAGAATAAACTCTGCCAGAGCTATTTTCAGTTTTAGCCCAAACTGTGGCATTGCCATTATCTCTTCCTTTTTCACTCTATCCCCTCCAACTGAAACTAACAGTAGCCATGCCCTCTTTTCACTTTCATTTACTAGTGACTCCACCCATTTACAGTGGCATCACTCTATCCAGACCACACAATCTCCCCAGGTCACACTGTCAATAACTAGAGAGAGAGAGATTACTACACCTCCCCCACCCCACACTTCTGCTTACCCAACAAAGTCATTGTATTGGGTGATGAGGTGCAGAGATTTTTCTCCTCAAACTTTAGATGAAAAATGATTCATTTATTTGAGTAGCTCTTGTGGGTATCTAGTTCCCTTATGCTGGGATAGTCATTACAATAAACTCATTTGGAGCTAGAGAATGTGCCCAACTTCTGAACAGTCATCCAAAAATACCCATGTGATATAAATGAGCTACTTTTTAAAAATTGTTTTTTTTTGTCTTTGGTTTATGTTTTGTATTGTGGCTTTATTTGGTGGTGGTGGTGATGATGGTGGTGGTTAACAACAAGGAGAACCAAAATGTACAAACAGATTCCTTTCCTGATATTTTTATCATTTTTTTTTCAAAACTCATGTAAAAAGATTTGATGTTCCCTGATGAGAAGCTTTCCAATTCTTAAAAATCAATTCAGTGTTTCACAAACCCACAGAAAATGTACAAAGAAAATTATAAAAAATAAAAAGACCTGAAAAAAGAATTTGTTTTTATATTTGAATGAAAATTATTGATATGAAAAGAATGAAACTGTTTCAATTTACATTTTTTGTTTTTGCCAAATTTGATTTTTTTTCCTGTTGTTGTTGATACTGAAATAAAATTGTCTGTATTAATTCTTTCTAGTCAATCATTTGTTTTCTTTTATACAATGATAAAAAAAAAAAATCAACACATTCTCTGAGAGCTGAAGTGTCTTTAACGAGAGAGAGAGAGAATGCTGTTATCACATTGTACATTAGTGACAAAACAATATAAATAAATAAATGTTGCTTAACCTTTGTGAAAATTCTCAATCATGGAAGAACAGTGGCTAATTTAAAAGAAGAAAAAGCAGTGTCTATATTCTGGCACAAGGCCACAAGCATAAATGAGAATTTAACTCATGACAATACTAACCACTACTCCATGACCAAAAGTATCAGTTCTCTTCTTTTTGAGCTGCCACACTGAAAACTGTAGTCTTTCTTTCTGATTTTATTTATTTTCAAAGTTGAATTTCTATATTTAAAGATAATTTCTCAATTCTTTGGTATCAATTCTCAATTGCCATAGCAGTAAAATTTATGATAATCAAGTAATTTTTGTACAAGCAGTTAAAATGTGTCAGATAATCTCACACCAATTCCATAAAAGACTGGTGTTTTGAGATGTATATTTTACATTTTAAATACAAAGTCTGCCCAATGGTCATTTAAAGTTGCTTGCATAGGAGAGAGAGAGGGTGGGGAAGGAGAAATGAAATCTTCAGATATTTGAGCAGCAAGCAAAAATGTTTTAATGATGGCAAAAGAAAAAATTTTTTTTGAGGATAAAAACAATAAACAAGCAATTATCAATAAAAATGATGTGGGCAAAGCTTTAATTTGTTTTGTTTTCAAACGTGATAAATACTCCCTTGTTAACCTCTATTTGATTGCGACTTCTTTCTCCTTGATTCCAATTTTGTTTGTTCACATGAGTTGTTCCCCCTTAAATCAAAGTTCATATTGAAATCTGTTCATTTTGGGGGAAAAGTAATTTCTCTGCTAAATGAATAAAAAGAGAAATCCATTTCTTTCAAGATCAATTCCTTGTTCCCCTCCACAACTATTCAGAGTCGAGGTAAGTGAAGTAATTTTGGGGATTTCTGTGTAGTGTTCCAGCCACAAGCAATGCTCTCCTCCTCCAGTTCCTGCCATTGTCAGCTAAAGAACAATTTAAAAAACTCTGAAATCTGCCAAATAGGAAATAAAATTGAAAGCTTAGCCTCAGAAAATGTCCTACATTCCAAAGTTGTCAGCAAAAAGGAAAAAAAAAAACCGGAAGCTTGAAAGAAATTGTGACAATTACTTCATTACTATTGCAAGAGATGAATCCAAACAGGTGAGGCGGGGTTTGCAAGGAGAGTGTCACACAGGTTTATCTCTCTCCTCCACTTGAACCTTTAATATTTGATGAATTCAAAACAAAACTTGCTGGCCGGAATTCATTTCTACATACATGTGACAACTGAGAAGCCTAAATGCAGAAAGCAGTGAGACATACAAGAAAGTATCATGGCAACACATGTTTAGAGATGACAGTCACAAAAACTATGAAGAGGAAAAACGGTTGTTAGCATTACTTCATGGATGGATGGATGGATGGATGATGTGTGTGTGTGTGTGTGCACATGTGCCTCCCAACTGGTAAATAGTTTATCCCTTGAAAAACAATGCACAAACACAGTATCACATGATGAAGTGTCATCAATAGAGATTGTTAACAATGTGGTGAAAATCTTCGGTGCATTGTATATGTACAAGTTGAGAGAGATGTCCAAGCAGAATGCTCTTTTTGAAAATTGAACTCTGATGATGGAGGAGGAGTTTTCTAATTCTTACATTGTCCTTGAATGATAAACACAGGTCAGTGCTTGTGGCTGTTACTAACATTCAAACCAAGTTTGAATACTTTGTTTATGGGGAAGTGAGTCAAGCACACTTGGAGACTTTCCATATTGCAAAATGAATGAGCTCAGCATGTCGGAACACAACTGAATCATCTCTCCTGTCCTTTCAACAGAATTTCGCAAGTATTTCAGGTTTGTGATAACGTATTTGAGGACATCTTATGCTTTTGCCAAGTCTATTGCACTCGCAAAAGAATCGAATCAAGAGAATACGTGCATCCCGAGAGAGAGATGGACGCAGAAAGCGCGTGATGTCAAATACCATGGAGAATTGGGTGAGTCTCATTGTAATTGTGTCCAGTTCGTTAAGGGTTACCGATAACCACAGATCAATCTGCCCAGGTGTTGTGGTGACGTTGACCATGAGGAGGGCTTCATGCAGAAAATCAAAACCCACATGCAGCTGGACATACGTGGAAAAAAACGTATGCATACCTTCTGGAGAAAGGAAACAAAAAAATAAATAAGATAAATGAAATTTAATGAAGCTGAAACAAAATTCAAATGGGAGCAAACAAGTGGGGGATTGAGAAAAAACATTTGAGAAAATGTATATTTGTAGAGTGGGCAATATTCACATATATTGCCTTGAGCAAGCTTTTCAATTCTCTAAACTTGGGATTCAAGATTTATTTCCTGTCTTTTCTATTCTCCTCAGTATGTTTTGCATTCTTACTTTCCTCACCAGAAGCACAAAGTAGGAAAGATAAACAATTTGATATTGTTTAAATGTAATTGATATTTTGCAAGGGTGAACTTTATTTGATGCTTAACAAACAAGACCAAGTCACTGACTATACATGTTGTCATCACCATCCAAAGTAACCAAACATTAAGTCTTTTGGTCTATGCCAGTCACTTTTAAAAGGTAATCCTTATCATTGGAAGTAAATAAACTTTAATTAACAAGCAAATGTTTAAGCCATTTTGCCTAAAATTTGACTAAATTCACTTCTCATCAATTATAATAAGCATCACATTCAAAAAGATTCTCAGCAAAATAAACTAATAATTTATACAGAATATCAAAAATACTTTTACAAACTTTGGAGGAAGGTTCCTCATACTAAAATAAGGACAAAAATCCATATGAACATGACCACAAATTCATTTTTGAGTTATTAAGTTTATAGTAGATTTGTTATTTGTGTACATTTGTGACTAGTCTGTCTTCAATATTTAACATGTTTAGTAGTGAGTTAACTGAGAAGTGTTCAGTTTAGCATTGGCAGGATATTCTTATCATTAGCAAGCAGATATGATTTTTATATAGAGCCATGTGGCTGCAGGAGATTGTCTTTCCAGGCTGAAGGCAGCCAAGTCATCCAATCTTTGCTGCTGTTTATTATAGTATTGCTGAAACACGATCCATGGCACTGCAAACTATATGCCTCATACGCCTGACCATGATGAACACATTCTACGGGCTGTCAGTGACAATCCAGGTATCAGCACACGTCAAGTGGCCCTAGCATGTCATAGATCTCATAGTACTGCATGGAGGGTACTTCAAGAGCAGCAATTGTATCCATATCATTTGTAGCATGTGCAGAGTCTTTCGACCTCTGATCACTCACTATGGGAGAACTTTTGCTGATGGTTTTATTGCATGAACTGCCAATCTGTTGTTTGTCTCTTCACTTTTGTTTACAGATGAGGCAACATTTGGAAGAGATGGAAATTTACACAACCAACATTTGTGGGTGGATCAGAATCTCCGTGGTACAATACAGGCTAGACACCAACATCAGTTTACGATTAATGTATGGGCTGGAATTGTAGGTGACTGTCTGGTAGGTCTATATTTTCTCCCAGCACACCTTACAGGAGCTGTCTGCAGGGACTTTATTTAGAACACACTTCCAGACCTGCTTGAGGATGTACCTCTGCTAATACAAAGATGCATGTGGTTCATGCATGATGGGGCTCCAGCATATTTTAGTCACATTGTTTGCAATTTGCTGACTGATATCTACCATGAAAGATGGAGAGGTAGGGGAGAACCAGTTCCATGGACTGCATGATCCCAGAAACTCAATCTTTTGCATTTTTATCTTTGGTGCCACCTAAAACAATTGATTTATGCAGCAGACATTAATAATGCAGAGATGTTTTATCAACATGTTATGGGGGAGGGGGGGGCAACAAAATCATTTGATACTTTAAGTGAGTACTTGAAAAGGTCCACCAGTCAAGGATACGACAGGTGCATGGCATTTTGAACATTTGTTATGAGTTACTTTGTACAATGATGGCCTTTTGGACATATGTTTATATGGACATTTTACCTTGTTTTGCTGTCAGGAACCTGCCCCCAAAATTTGTAAAAGTATTTTTGGATTGTATCTTAGATTGTACATTTAACAACGTCTATTGTAAACTACAAATTTAATAACTCAAAAACAAAGGATTTGTGGACATATGTTTACATGGACTTTTGTCTTTGTTTTTGTGTGAAGAATTCATCCCCAAAGTTTGTAAAAGTGCTTTTGAAACACACTTTATAAGCTGCTGTAATTTCTTTTCTCCACAATCCAGTTGAGATTTTCAAAAAATTTACCACAAAAGTTGAAAATGCTATTTTCTACCGCTCTTGATTTTATTAATGCAAACCGACTTCTCAATCTTCCCTTTCTCTCCATACTTGTATGGTCAAAAGTAGTCAACTCTATCATAAGTGGGTGTCAATCTTCATTCTTGTCTTTGGGGACTCAACATGAAAAGAAAAAAAGGTAATCAATTTGCAACTCAAACTATTATGAATACCAATTTTTTTTGTTGTACCTTGAATGGTATGATGTCTAAATTGGTGGAGACACACACACACACACACACACACACACACACACTCTGTTTGAATCGACCTAGTCTTTTGCCATCATCTTCATTACATTCATATGGTGATCTACCACAAGCCAGAAAAAGGAATAAATAGACAATATGAAAGAATTTTGCCCACTTGGGAGTTGGAATGTTATTTCCTACTAACCTATATGAGTGTTTGACCTTATTTTGTCTTGGCTCAACTCTCCAGGTACAAGCAGAACTTAGCTTTTGGCGCAGCCAGGTCTCAGTCAGCGTTTACTGCTGAAAGAAAAATAGAACAGCCGGCTAGATTAGGCTTACAACAAGCTTAGCAAAGTTTATGAAACATTGCAATCTGATGGAAAAACGTTTGCAAATATTTTAGATATTCAAGAGAAAAAAAAAATCACAAATTTAATTTATGCAAGTTGAAAAATAAAAATAAAAAACTAGGGTGGATGTTGATGGATGGAAATAAAATTAACAAACCATTGCTTTCAGTCTAAAGATTTATTACATGTTTTATATATATATATAGTGTGCGAGTATACAAAGAAGATGCTGAAAATTTCTTGGCTGACCCACTTCCCAAAATCTGACCAAATAAACATTTTATTTATTTTTTGTTTTTGTTTTTTGAATGGGCACCTTGATCAGGCAGATAACTTTTGAGTTCCACCCCTCAAAGATACAAATTATACAACCATACATATATTTATGTATGTATATTTGTAGAAATCTATAAGGCTATTTACATTGAAGTTTTACTTCTCAATATTGTAGCCACGACAACTTGAATGAAGAAGTGGCACAATTTCTAATTGCAATTTAAGCAGAATATATAAGACATGTTAGAGTAAAGAAATTGTTGATGTGCTGTGACATGTTTGCTTTAATTCACTAGTTGAAAAGTAGTTTTTATGACAGTTTGAAAACATAATCAGAATTGATTATGCTCAACTTAAAAAGCCATATTAAATTACATCCTGACACCAAAAGTGTTAACAGTAATTATTAACATATTTGCAGCAGAAAACTACATGTAATTATTTAATATTAAATCTTACATGCTGACATTATTGACTGAATGTTTTATTATTAGATATGATGGCTGCCAGAATGAGATTTCTTTCTCTTTATTCAATGAGAATAAGAAATTGTATGAGAGTTGTAGTAAAAAGAAAAGTTCTTGGTCCAGCACACATTTGAAAATCTGGTCAAATGACAATCTTTCAGAAAGGTGTGTTTTATTGCCCCCTCGCACTCGGGAGCTCTTGGGTGACAATTCAATAATAAAATTGCATTCTTCTCTTGCAGCCAATGATCACTAGTTGTTTTGGTTCAAGATGGAAAGAATTTCAACACAGGGAATTTTAACTTAGCTAGTTTATTAATGTTGATGTATACATCTTCTAACTAGTCAGAGGGGTTACTCTCTCCTTCCACTGGGGAGCACTTTCCAGACACGAAAGTCAACACATCTACATTGCTTGACATGTAAGAAAAACCTTTTTACATCCTTATTCCCACGCTTATTCCTTATTTTGTCTTGTATCTGATTCCTAAGGTTAACCTAAGGAAATCAGAGCAGAGATATACTCCCCCCCTAAAAATAATAGTCTGCTAAACTACTATTTAACAGGTGGATTCATTTTTTATGGCTTAACCTATTGCAGGTTATTTAAAACCTGAAATTTTTTTTAGATTGTAAGAATTTAAAAAAATGTTTTTTTTTTGAGATATTGGTTTTAGTGATACAAGTCTTATGAATTAACCCATAGTTGGGGGAAGAAGAGGTGATTCATTATCCTTTCTCCAAAGATATTGGTGGCTAAGTGAACATAACAAACCTAATGGGAATTGGAACTCTGCTCTCCCATTAACAATTCCGAGCCATTATCCATTACACCACCTGCCCATCCAAGCTTACAGCAACTGGTATTCCTAAGTGGTCACCCATCAAGGTACTGACCCAGCTTGACATTGCATAACTTTGGTGATCATACGGGAACTGGTGTTTCAACATGATATAGCCGCATCCCTTTTCGGAAACAGCTTCTTGACCAATCCTAGAACTTTTCAGCATCTCTTTATATAAAACTTACTACACATATAACATAAATGCCTTCTTTGCACAAATAATGCCTACAAAAGTTGATAATATAGATTCTCCTGCTACAATAAAGAAAGATAACCCTTCTAGTTTTTTGTTGTTAAGCACAAACAGACCCACCCCCTCTTCAATTAAACTATAGTGCTCTCTGTATATTTGTGGTAAGATTATACACTTCAGGCATATATGTAATTAGTATATAATGAATGCTACTCACTGGTCATTTTCCACTAATCACTATCCAAAAGGATTTTCTTGTTTTGTTTTTATGCCTGCTTTCAAGTTTCTGTGACCACCACACATAGGGAAATCAACTTGATTGCAAGTATAGCTTTTGATTCACATTACCTGCTGAGTATTAATTTAACAAAATTATCAAGCAATATGTGAGCTTATCAATATTTACTAGGCTTAACAGATTGTGATATCCATGGGCTCACTTCAGGAGCAATTGCCTGCAAGCTAACCTTGCTAGTCACTGCTCCATGATATCTAGTGTTCCTTGTGTAAATTTGTATAGCAGCAGCTCTCCAGTGCCAAAACTGTTGGCTGTCATCACATGAAAAGGTCGGATTTCTGCTAACAAGAAAACAAAAAAGGAAAGAGTGGAGAGATGTACAAGTTTCTCTCCCTCTCTTATATTCTTTGCACACATTGTTCCAAATTTTTAAAAGCTCTGATTTTCATAAAGAAATATGTATTTCTAAGAGCACCAGGTTAAATATTTGTTTCCATCCAAGTAATTATATGTCACGGGGTGGGAAGTAGAGTTTGGCTTCATAATTTCTGTTCATTTTTTAAATAGCCCTTTCCAGATAACATATTTCATTTGTAAAATATTTGCAAAGTTTTCCTCGCTAAGTATTTTTGCAGTTTCATCAACTTTGTTCAGTTTGTCATGATACAATCTAACCATTTGTTTAAGTGGCAAGCTTTTCAGTGTTAGAGAAACAAGAAAGGCCCTCTTTAAGAAAGCCACTGGCTTCATTAAATACAGCAAGAAGACTTCATTGTTTTGGGTTTCTTTGGTTTTTTGTTGTTTTATTTTCAGTCTGTGGATATAAAAGTTTACAGACTCTGAAATTGTAGGGCTTTGTGATGCAAAGCCTGAAACCAAAATTCAACATAATCAGACTTTTTTTCACCTGAATGTAACCTTGCAACCAACAAAATAAAGACATCATTTAAGAAGAAACAAAACTTAAAATCTTCTAGACATGTTTGAATCTAACCAAATGAAATCACACATACATAAAAATTATTAATCATAAATAAGGATCAATTGTTGTAGTAGAATTTTTTGGATGTTTTTTTTGCCTCCATGTGGAATAGCCAATGGCATTACAAAAAAAACAAAAAAAAAAACAAATAAAAATAAAAAAGAAATCACCAATCAGATAAAGATGCAAAAATAATTTCCAAGGCATTATCATGAAGGCAATAGAGAAAAGGTATCTGAATGAAGTATCAAGTAGGCAACACCCAAAGAGCCCGATACATGATAATAAGCTTCTATAATCTGCACATGAAAGTTAGCAGCAAGATGGAGGATCTTTTTTTCCACATAAAAACATTCTAAAATATACATTCACTAATTATAAAACGGAATTTTTTTTAATGAGATCCAAAATGCTCTTCTTTAAATAGTCTTGAATTTGTTTATTAGAAAAGAAAGAAGTTCAAATTCTAAACAAAACTTGAACACAAAATCAACTGAAAATGAACAGAAATGGCTACAAGGAGAATCAGGCTTTCAATTGATTTCCTAAGGTATTAATTCCTAGTCTAAGCAAGTGACCAAAGTTACTACATTGATTTGAGTAACATTAAAAATATTGCCAAAATAAAAACATTTTAAATAAAAGTGCTGTTTGATCATGAGTTCAATTATGCAACTAGATTATGGTAAAATTCTTTGACATTTTCTGTACTTAAAATTGTTTTTATTTGTGATGACGTTTTTCATATTTGTACAATAAAAATGACAAGGCTTGACATATTGACTCTTAATTTCAGGCCTCAATTGCAATCAGTGAACAACATTTTAGAGAGCCTCTAAGAGAGAGACTACTAATAACTAATTGAAATCATAGCAAATAAATAGTCAAGACAAAGAGGTATGATACAAGTGAATCATTTGTAATCATTAAAGAGACAGAATACAAACAATAACAAAATGTGAAAGAGAAAATTCTACAAAGAAATTAGCTTTGCTCAAAGTAAATTAAATTTAAGGCATTTCTGCAGAAACCTAAAGGAATCCATTTTGTGCGTAAACAAAAACTATCAGCAGCAAATATGGCATTCTTAGATTGAACCTGGTATCCATGCCCAAAGCAGTTTTCTACTGACCTGTTCTACTTAAATAATTTTACTCTCTAGTGCTTGTCTCTTATAGTGCCAGCACATGAATAGACAGATACCAAGCTTTTATTTGACATGCCCCATTGAAAGGTCAACTCTTCTACTAGGTACAATCATTACCTCTAATCAATATATACAATTATTAGCCCAAACATTAAGACCACCTGCTTAAGAAGGTGTTGGTGCTACGTGTGCCAGCAAAACAGCACTTATCCAATTAGATATGAACTTTTTTTTTTTTTACAGTGGGTTTTACACTGTACAAGGCCTGTCACTCGAAGTAGAGGGTTACAGAGTAAGAGGCAGTTTATGCAGATAAGCGGGGAAGATAATGGCTAAACCTAGAATTGAACAGGTTAAGATTGTAGTGATCAAGGAAACATCCTCTTGGGAGTCAGTTCCACAGAGCTGTGATTTGTGGAACAAAGCTGTTCAAGCTTCACCAATGGAATACAGAGGTAATGAGGGTGGTCAGCTACAATGTTAGTGGCCCTGGAGGGTTCTAGTCTGTGAAAGTTAGAACTTGTGAAACCAAAGAATGCATTTTGTCCAAGCACTTTCCATGGAAGTAGTGATAGAGCAGTGAGAGGCTTGCCACATCACATCTGTGAGCGAGGGGGTTGCAGGGCGGAAAATAACTTGTCACCTACAAGGACACAGAGACAATTTTAGACTATCAAGACAGGAAAGTGAGGACTGGGCAGCTCCCACCCAAATATGACAACAGTACTCCATTTTAGGCCTGATCTGGCTCTTGTAAAGGTAGAGGATAGCACAAGGAGTCAGGTACTTACTGGAGCAGTACAGGGAACTGAGCATTTATCCTGCATATTTAGCAATGGATTGTATATAAGAGTTCCACTTGAGGTCTGGGGTGGGTTTAAGGTCCAGTAGTCTCTCAAGGTACGGAGTCTTCTCTATGGGTTCATCTATCCATTGTGACAGGTAGTAGTTCGTGATGATGATGATGGAATGTAACTAGTTCAGTTTTAGAGGCACTGAATATAATCAGCAGTGGATTGGGCCAACTGAAACCCATATTGCTTGTCACTCAAGAGGTTGTTCTGTGCTCAACAAAACTTCTTGTTGATTATAGCCTCAAAAAGCTTGTTAACAATACTGAGGATGTTGATTGGTCTCTACTGAAGTGGGGGTTGGTGATTGCCTGCATTCTTGAAAACTTTTCCACAGTCGTGAGAAGAGTTCTTTTTTTTATTTAAATAACTTCACTAGGATTGGGGATAGTTCTGGGTTGATGTTCTTAAGGACAACCACTGGAATTTTGTCTGAGCCAGTGGTTTTCTGAGGGTCAAGGCTTTTGATTCCTCGACAGAACTTCTACAGATTTACTCTGGGATCTGGTGCCAGGAAGTTAGCAGCTGGTGCTTTAACTACTGCAAGTTCATATGGTAGTGGTTCTGCAGAGCAGACTTGTTGGTTCATCACATCCCATAAGTGCTCAATAGGATTGAGTTAAATAGCAATATCGAGGTTCAGGTCCAGAAAGTCTGGGGTTGTAATTTTAAGGGTTAAAAATTAGTCTTACTAGTTCAAAGTCAGAAAATACTTTGGGCTTAAATCAAAAGGGTGAAACATTTCAGCACATCACTGCCTATTCACCTACAAAGAGCTAAAAAAACAATGCTGTGGTTCAAAGTAGCATTCTTTTAATGGGGTAAGAAAGGTTGTGATGGGTAAAGACTGGTAGAGAAGCACAAACAATTCTCATATTTCAAGGACTACTAAAGTCAACCAAATTTTCTTTCTTGAGGTAAGACTTGGTCTTCTCCTTTGTTGCCACAGGGATCAAGATCTGGAGAGTTTGATAGCCAAGGTGATATACTGAAGTTTTGTCATGTTTCTGAAACTATTCCCATATACAACTTGTGCAGAGTGTGACAATGTACAATGTCCTATAGAAAGATGCCACTGTCATTGTAGAAGGCTTATCATGAAGGAGTGTACCTGGTCTTTAATGATGTCAAGGTAGGTAATATGCAACATCATACCTTCTACATGAAAGAGAGTGCTCATTGTTTCCAAGAACATTAACTAAACCATCATACTGCCTCCATTAGCTTGTTTTCTCACATCACTTCCCCAGTATGTAAATGCACACATATCCTGCCATCGACTTTATTTATGAGAAAGTTAGACTTATTGAACTCGAAAACTATCTTCTATTGATACAAAGTCACATTCCAGCACTTGTAAAAGACCATTTTGGCATGGGACATTGTTTTAACATGAGTACTCTGAATTGTAGCTATGCAACCCTCATATATTGCAATACATTACTTTGTTCCCATTGATTAAAACTATCTGCAATCTGTGCCACAGTAACATTACCTTTCATTTGTTGGTATTTGGCAAGAAAACCTCCATTCACTTATCAAATCAGTAAGTTTTGGTCATCCAATGTTTCGTAAGTAGTTTGTGATTATCCATCATCAAGCTACAGCCAAACAAGTGAGAAAAATGTGAGACCTACCACCAACCATGATATTTTGGAAATGCTCTGACCTAGCTTTCAAGTTGTAACTTGGCTCTATTCAAAGTTAC